GGCCCAGCAGCCCAGGCCATCTTCCGAGCAGGTCGCTGGCGGCCCATCACAGGAGATCAGAAGTTGTCCAGCTTGCCAGGGTGTGGAGCTCTCTCTCCAGCTCTGGAAAGCTAGCCTGACCAGGCACAAAGCCTTTGTTTTAGCATGATAAGTTTAGGTACACTAAACCAGGGTACCTTTGCACAATTATTCCAAGGTCTCCCCCCAAGGGACGTCATTAAAGGAGATGCACTTTTTTTGATCATCTGTTTTTGGTATTTCATTCTCATCTGTGCAAGCAGAAGTTTTGATGCCTAATGGGGAAAAAGTGATGTGGGGCCTACCTGCAATGCCATACCTGGCCACAAGGGTATGCATAAGGTAGCCCACCCATTTACTGGTCTATTCTTAGTAAGGTGAAGAGAATATGACCTCATCTTATGCTTGTTTTTATTCAGTTAAATTTGCAGGAAGATTTGCAAGCAATTGAGCCAGTGATGTTTAATGATGGTATTTGGTGGGATGTTTTCAGGTGATCTTTCATATGATTGAGGCATCCCAGCATTAGAAACACCCTTGATGGCTTGCATTTGCATATTTAAAAACCATAAATCATTCCATACTCCATATCTCTAACTTTACACACAAGAATGATACATACACCAAAATAAGGTATACAGACCCAGCAGATTAAGACATTAAGATTGATAGATTTCATGAGACAATTTGTCCCCAGCATCTTTGAGTTATGCATATTTGTCTTCATAAGTCCATTTCATAAATCATGGGGGTGTCACAATGAGTGGATATCAAAATAGTCAGTGTATCCCTGGACAGATATATGGAGTCCCTGCTTGCCTGCAAGGATAGATTCCTTTAAACATTCAATGTTTGTTTTCTTTCTAAAAGTCCACTTTAGAAGCTTTTACTACAGTGTTTCTAGATGGCCAGCAAGGGGCTCTATAATTGGACAATAAAAATTGCTGTACCAAGAGAGATAATAGCCTCTACTCTAGAGTCTGTTATTTTAACAAAGGGCAGCGTTGGGTGCTTCCAGTCAGTGTTATTTAGTCTATGGGATCTGCAGACTATGCACCTCCATTTGGAAACGTTTAGGGTCCGCAAATGAAAACAGGTTGAAATCACAGCTTCACACGAATAAAGCAACGGTTTGACATTTAATACCAAGGACAGGAATTCCTTCTGGACGAGCTGGTGCCCCCGAAATGACAATCTGAAGCCTCCTGCCGGTTTTATCCTAACTGCTGTCAAAATTCTCGGACACGCCAAGCGTCTCGGGCTGCCAACAGCCAGGAGGGAAAGGCGGGGGATGTGGTAGGTGAGAGCCGCTCGGGCCAGGGCTGCGCACCACGTCTGGGATGGTATCCATTGCTCTCTAGGGGGATCGCGGCAGATGCTGTTGGCATGACGCTCTAGTGACGGTGCAGTGTCAGCCTGGCTCTTTCCGAGGGAAGGTGACTGGGAGCCCAGCGGGGCATCCTGAGATTGGCTGCATTGGCCTAGCCCGCTCCACGCTCCTTGCTGCTCCTTTCACATTCCTGCCCCTTCGCAATCCTTTGGCTGTGAAGCTGCTGCGCTGCCGCGAGCGGCACTGAGCCAAGTCCCCCCACTCCCGCACTATGCCC